GAATACCCAAATTCTAGCTGCTTTATGTTTCCTGTGACTATATTACAATTAGGCTGTTAGAGTGAGAACAGAGAGCAATGTTGGTTCCCCATATTTTTAAGAAAAATGAACAGCTAGGATGAACAGCTACAGAAGAAGCTAAGGCAGTGGGATTAAAAACACAGAATGCTCTAATTCTATTTAAATGAATCTTGCTTTCATAGGAACAAGAAATCATTGGGCTTCAAAACTGGGCTAAATGTGATCATGAATCTGAAGCCACATCATCCCACATATGAGAAGAATCAAATGAAAGCAAAGATCTATTAAGTGCAGAAAGTATTAAACTTCATAAATCCAAAAATGGCTTCTTTGCAAGTCTGAAATATAAAGTAACAGATGGTCCTAAGACATCGAAAAGTAAAGGTCTGGAAAAACCTGAGAAGTCCCCTACTGCATCACACAGACTAGTGTCAGTAGTACATCAGATAAAACAATAATACTGATCAGGACACAGTGAACCAAAATTTATAAAGCTGGAAATCACAGGGATGTAAGCTTAAATGTATTTAATTTGAAGGGAACAAAATGTCCTGTATTTTATCATCATGATAATATGGACATAGATTTCACAAGAATTCACTTGAAGCAAATTGAAATTTTTATCTTAGTGCTAAATTTGCCATCCACCTGGTGGCTAGACAACAACCCACAGAATTTGCCAGTGTATCAGGAAGAGTTTTCTACTAACACATCTGGGGACATCAGATGAAGGAAGCATGCTAAATCGTATCTACATCTAGAATGCTATGGCTCCTTCTAAAATTCCTTCATTGCTATGTTTTTCTCTTTTGAGAACTGATTTTTTAAAATTGTTATAAAAATGGCTATAATGTTTATATCTTAATATTCATACATCATAGCTTCATAACCATTGTGAAAATGTGCAGGAAGCAACCTTACCTCGATTCTTTTGCTTCCCAGGAATTCAGCCAGGACAAAAATTTTAATAATTGACATGATAAAGTGTTGATATTTTGATACTGTTATGACTAGCTGCTTGACACCAATAAACTATTTTTTCTTTTGTACATGTTTAACATCTATAATTTCCCCTTCTCTGTATAAATGAAATAAAACATATGGAATTCCCAAGACATTAAATTTGCATAACTTTATATACTTAACCAGTAAAAGGAGGCTGACATTTTGTAGAAGTTAAGCTGTCAAAAGAATATGGTGTGTGTGTGTGTGAGAGAGAAGCGGTTTCATGCTATTCAATTATTACTATTTGTATAGCGGCTAGGAAAAAAAATCTTTTAAGAAAAATTATTTATTTTGTGATAATTTAATAAATAGATGTAACTGAAAATATTTTGTAATGATCATAAGAGACAGATTACAGGGAAAAAAGGGAACCTGTGATATTCCAGACATTGTTCAAGGGCAATTTCTAGCATCCTTCACCATTGACCAGCTAGCTAGGACAGTTGAGAGTTGCAATTTAGTGACATCTGCAAGACCATAAATTCTATCTAGAATAATTTCTAGGAAGCTGTCAGTCAGCTAGCATTAATAAGTTTAACACAGAACTAAGTCGTAAAATAGGAAACAGAACATAGTCAAAGTATTAACTTTTTTAATGATAAATAAAAATAGACAGACCTTGGAATAAAAAGGGAAATCTCTGATAAGGAGTACACTGCTGCAGAGTCTCATTTTAAGAAATTATATATTTATAGTCACCTTGGAACTTCCACTTATTAGCTGAATGATTTGTGAAAAAATATTTTGATGTTCAGGAAACATTGCAATATTCTTTTAGATAAAAATATTTTTAGCAAAAAATAACAGATGCACACAAACTTGAATTACTGGGAAAATCTGATAAACATTTTGGAAATGATGTTGGGAACTTCTAGTTGATGTCCTCAAACTCCAGTATAGTACACCATATTCTGGAACAGATAAGTAAATCCAGTAGAATTAATTTGTTAAAGAAATTGTTCCATTATTGTAATAAGGTAGAAGAAATTCAAATTTTACTGGTTCAGATTTTCAGAAATGCTTATTTATTAAAATCACAATAACACTGAAATTGTATTTACAAGTTGACAGTCTGATTACCAGTCTACCAAATAAATCCCTTCATTAAAAAAAAAAAAAAAAAGTAGTGCTGGCCAATACTGTTATACAGAGCATGGGAATATTGTCATTGTGTTCCAGTACTAACAGAATGGTGAATAAGCATTTCAGAAGATTCACCCAAAACAGTGTCTTCCCAGTATATAATACAGTAAATTTTTGGTGGGGGGGATTACTAAAAAATCCTGTGAGATACCTTTGGCAGTATACCATACTGTTTGCGGTTTAATGTGAATTGTGTGCTAGGACACTTGCTTGTAAATGTGATTTTTTTAAAATGCAAATTGTCTTTCACTGTATAGTGTATATGTGCCAAAACATACTAATTTTATTTGTAATATGCAATTGTATTCCTGAAGCTTAACATTTTAGTTGGCTTTTACTCCAAACACATTTGACAAAATGATATAATTGGGGGAGGGGGGGGAACGGGTCTAAGAATGGTAAATAGCTGTTAAATTCCAGAAAACTACAAAAAAAATCATTCTAAAGTGATGTTGTTCCTTCTCAATTCCAGCATATTTCATACTACCCATTTCTGAAGGATGCCTTTAAAGGGAAATTTTCAGCCATACTGAGAGAATGGATTTTACAAAAGCTAATTATTTTGTGCAAAGAAATGGTAGAAAGATAAAGGGACCCCAATGATCAATACCGTTGGCAGCTTTTCAATAAAGAAAATGCAGCAGCTGACCGTCCCCTGTATAACTTCTAGCTTGGCTGTAACACAGACTAATATTTTTTTTCCAGATGCATGTTGCGCATGGCTATTTGGAGTAAGTTTTGATTGTCTTCATGGAGTTTTGGTTTTGCTTGCACGTCTTAAAAATTATTTGGGCCAGGATTCTGTTGAGAGGATGGTCTTCTATTATATAAAGAATCATTTTATCTAGTTGTTTACTTAACATAAATACAAAGAAAGCATCATGGAAGAAAAGAACTTCTAAGCCTTCAGCAGGATGTTGATAATCTGTCTTGCTCACTTGAGCTCTAGTTTTCAGTTTCAGGAACCACAATCAATTAGGGTATCCCCACACATGTATGTATGTAAATATAAAAGAACTGGCTCAACCACATTGTCTTATTAAAAGGCCTCTGCCATTTGGAAGTAAGAGCAATAGTTCCTTTTTTCTATGGCTGCTGCTGGTACTGTCCTTCGGTAGCTGTGTAGAAATCATCAAGGACACTCTGTAAATATTCAAATGTTGGTCTCTCTTCTGCTTTATCTTTCCAGCATGTTTTCATGATATCATAAAGCTCAGAGGGGCAAGCTTCCATGCATGGCATGCGATAACCACGCTGAAGAGCTACCATTACATCAGAATTACTCATACCTGAAATAAAAAAAATAAAATGAAATAAAGTATTTTTAATATGGTCAATCTGATTATATGAGAGCAAGAGCAGCTGGCTTAGAAAAGGAAAATATTTCTAAGTGTAAATCATGTGCTTATATCTGTTTTATTCATAAAAATGGGTAGGATTTGCTTACTGGAAAAATTCAATAATTAAGTGGATTTCCTTAACCTAAATAAATCATTTGTGAAAATCCATAAAAACTTCAAAACACAAAAATAACTTGTTATCCAAAAGCCTAATGTAATTTCATATTTCTAGGCTTTTAAGAAAGAGTCTTGGCATTGTACACTCAGTGGAATTAGGTTGAAATGCTCCTTGTAACCTGGGAATGGAGTAGGGCCAAACTTCATTTGTTTTGGCCTCTGAATGCTGCAGTGAGTTTGGCCAGGATTGCATGCATTTTGCCGCCTCCTGTTTAGCAATGGCCATGGCAATACTGGCCAAAAGCATACATTTTAACAACAATGGTTAATGGCCACAACAATAGGAACAAACTATCCAATTATACAAGAATAATGAGGGTTAGAGTTTTGTTGTCTAGGAAGAGATGCAACTGGTGAAACAATCTAAATTGTTGAATTTTAGCTACTTAATTGTGGGTTGTACTGCTGCTTTATTCTAGCTTGGATAATAAAACATTGCTCCAACTGATGTAGCTGCACCCACACTTTCCTACTTCATTTTCCCCTCTGGTTTATCTTTCATCAAATCATGTTTAATGCATACCTTTGATTGACTCTGAAACTTCCCTAAATAGTATAAACAAAACAGAGCAATAAATAGGAAGAAGCACAAACCTGGATAAGGAATTTTTCCATAAGTAATTATTTCATACAGAAGAACTCCAAAGGACCAAACATCCGATTTAATAGTAAAAGAACCATAGTTAATGGCTTCTGGTGCTGTCCACTTGATCGGGAACTTTGCACCTAAGGAAGGACAAACAGTTCCATCTTATATCTTGATTTATGTTATAAACATTAAAAAGTGAAAGGTGGCTGAGAAACTGGAAAGGATTCTGAGGTGATTAGACAATGTCTTCTAGAAAAAATATGGAAACCTGTTTTTCTCCTCATCCCTTGTCTTACCATAATTGCCCTTCATGCAACAGAGAACAAAGTAGGGAAAACATACAGATCATGGCTTCTGGAATTCTTTCCAACCCCTTTTCCAGCAGTGGTCATAGAAGCTGTCCATATTTTTTCTGTGTAATGAAGTAATATGTTTCCTCTGTTGTGTGACTTAATAGCAACAGGAAGTTCAGGGTGGGCTGCATACTCTTTGCTCCGGGCTATGTAACCAGGAGGGAGGGAGCCTTAGAACAGAGGAACTGCCAAAATTCCAGGTTGTTGCCCAAATCTCTCTCCCAGAGAAATGCATTGTGTGTGTGTTTTTCCCCTGAATTGTTTTTCTCCACAGTTCCCAGTCTGATCGGGCACATTTTCAAATTCGAACTTCAGTTTGCTGGCTCCTCACCCCTACCCCAACATACCATATTGGGTCCTATTTTCAGTTTGTGGAGACGAGTTTTTATCCTGCTGTTAGACAGACCAATAATCCTCAACCTCTTTACATAAATTATTTCCAACATTCTGTTGGGTTGGGAAAAATAAAAATTGGTCCATGTGTAAACACTTCATTAGAAATATCGAAATAAGCAGCCACTGGGGGAGAAAAAACATTCTTAAATACTGTATATTAAATTAAAAAGCAACACCAACCTTCTCTGGCTGTATATTCATTATCTTCAATTACTCTTGCAAGGCCAAAATCAGCAATTTTACACATAAGTGACTCTGAAACTAGAACATTTGCTGCTCTCAGATCCCGATGTATGTAATTTTTTCTTTCAATGTATGCCATCCCCTCTGCAATCTGCAACAACAACAAATAAAGGGTCTTAATTTTCCTACTGTGTTGCCTCACCATCCCATACGCACAGAAATATCTGAAAGCAATTCACTAACAGTAGTTTGTGTTCTACTTTAATATCCCAATTTTACGTACAAGCCTAATATCTCCTTTTATTTGTATCTAAATAATAAAAATAAATGTAAGAATTCATTACATTTTTGTTAAACAGTGGTTGCTGTTTAATGCAGGCTGTTACACTATATTATAAAACATGTCTAAATGCTATATTTGGAATGCATCTGTTTCCAACCCAGAGGGCAGAGGCTTAAATACAAATTTTCCATTTCTTTCCAAATAACAAAAATAGAGACAAAGTAGGTGGCCACTGAGTTGTGTCCTATTTAAATAACTGGTATTTACATTATATTTTTTAAAATACATATTAACCCAGGGGTGTCAAACTCAATTGCACAGGGGGCCAAAATCCAAAACACACTTTAGGTC